ACTTTTCGTGAATCCTCAGCAACATTTTCAAAATTTTCTCAGAAATGGTTCCGATTTTGTTTAAAATGTGGGAATACTTCTGGTAATTTTGAGTAAAATTTACAAATATTGCGAGGTAGTACGTCTTGTTATATTTGAGTGACGTCTTATCAACATAATTAAAATATAATAAATAACTAAAAAATTTCGTTCTTTGTAAGAGTGCGCATAGTGATTATCACAAGTGAAAGGAGCCGAAACTACTAGCAAACTGCGCACAGAGCGCGCCGCGACCCCTTCGGTACTATCGACACTGTTGAAAAGGAGTAGTTGCCAGCAAAAAGGGCCCTCTGTGATCGCAAAAGCAAGCCAGCGAGAGCGATGGATCAATAACGATAGAGAGCCGATAGCATCGATTTTGTCTGGCTCTAGTGACCGAGCAAATCGAAAACATTTTGTCCTGTTAATAATGATGGCAAACTACAGCATGTGATTCGATATGCAAAGAACCAGATTTTAATTTTTGCCTAAGACACGATAAAGGAATACGCAATTGCGCTGACGGCAATACGTCATACAGCGTTTTTTTTAATACTTGCCGCAACAAAACAGCAATTAATGAAATCAGATGAATCAGTAGATATATATTTTTGACTTAACTAAGAGGCGCCGGCTCTACCAAATGAACCCTTAACAGCAACATGCTGCTCCCATTCAACTCCAAATACCCCCACTGTTCATCATGTATTCATTGCCTAGAAGGTACCAGCTACAGCGGTGACGTAAAATCCATTGTGCTAACCACTTTAAAATGTGATCATTCGCTTACGCGGGCGCATTTTATCTAATTCATCCTCAAAACGTTCCCTGGTGGTATGCTCAAACCAAATGAGTCGATTGAGTGGACGTTTAATAAGTTTTACAACTATTCTCTTGATTGGTTATATCTTCCAAGGGCGTTTCCCTAAGAGACCTTAGGGAGCAGTTGCCATTAAACTATAGGTACTGTCTCACGGTAAACATTGTTCGCATTTTAGGAACAGATAAAAACTTCCTCAGGTAAAGTTACATCTGCTAGAAGGGCAGACATGCGTGGCAAGTCCCTCTGTATCGGTGATTGTTGGTAATGCATTTCTTACCGTTATATCATTCACTAATACACTATTTATTTTTATACGAAAGTTTGTTCACGAAACAACTATGAACTTGTAATTTTTAATAATTTGTTTCTTACCCAAAATTAACACTATAGTCACATTTTTGCTTTTATGATTGAACATTGGCGAGTAGTGACAGAACTCTTGATTGATAAAATATCTCATCTATATTTGTGTCACTAGCCGTATGTCTTTCAATACTTTCCATAGGACCATCTTCTTATAAGAAAACAAATTATATCATCGAAAAATATTTGTTCTTGTAGTAAATATACACATACACCATATTTTTGTTAAAAGAAATAGAAATTTCATTAGACCTTAGCTGCATGTTGCCATCAACTTCGATGTGGACTTACCATTACTTACTTTAGACCGGTGTCTTTCCAACTTATCTTCTGGAATAGACAGCAGCTACAAACAGCTTTTAAAGAAAATTCGAACCATCGCAATTCACAAACGTATTCTCTTCAGAAGCATATAATGCTTTAGCAATCTCGGATAAATCAATAATTTCTCAAGAACATCCAAAATGTGCTTGCATGTTTTCCTTGTAGTATATCTCTGAGTATTTAGATATCGCAAATGAATGCAAAAGAAATTCATTTGAGTTAACCAGCAATGTGTGCTTTTCTCACACGGGAGTAGTGGAGGAGAGCGTGAGGAGTGGTAGTGCAAGAGTACGTGAGAGAAGTGCAGGAGACAGCTGAATCTTTTTGTCCGTATTACCTCTTGTAACCTTACTTTCAGATTCCTTTATCTTCTCGGTCTCTTTATTCTTCACTCTTACCATCTTCTCATAAACATTGTTATTCTGCTCCTTTAGTTTCATCTTATACACCTTCTCCTCCTCATCCATCTTCTCTTCTTTTAACTTCTTGTACTTCTTCACCTTCACCTTCGTCTCATTCTTCGCCTTCTTTTCTTCCCCTCTTTCACTCTCTTCTTGCCCTTGACCTTCCCCTCATTCGTCTTTTCATCTTCTCCTTCTTTATTCTTCTCTTAATTCTTCTTTTTCTTTTCTTCTTCACCTCCTCGACCGTCTTTTTCTCCTCGGTGTTCTAGCGAATCATCACGATTGCTGCGACAGAAAGCGTGCGATGCAAACATATCATGCGGGTTGCGTCAAGCAGGATGCCGACAACTGGAAGTGCGTAACTACATTTATATAAACATTCTCTTCGAGAACAGTCCTTCTAAAAACTAAATCAAGATCTCTTTTGAGACATTGCTTCAGTGTTAAATAATTTAAAATTGTCTTATGAAGGTGTGGGAGAAAACAACAATTCACGGCATGGGGATATCTGAACTACTTAATAACACAATGAGACACTAAGATGCATCATATCGCCTTTGTCAGCTTTGTTGAAATTTATATATTTTCATTACAAAAACCTAATTTCTTTTCGTTCACATCTTGGTATTCCACTTTTTGTACATTAAAGACCCACGTCATCATGTTATTTACCTGAATCAATAAGTTACGTCTACATACGAGGCTCTAGCGAAACATTCTGCTGCGCATTTTGTTACTGGTAACAAAAACGAGTATCGAATTGAAAATCAATATATGCACCGTCCCAATTTGCTTACATGCATGCAAATCCTCATCTAACTCTGTCACTTGTGTAAATGCATCTGTTAGACATTTTAAAGGAATGGATATCGAATTGGTGAATTTACATGAAATGAAATTGACTTTTCACCAATATCAGTCAGGAACTCGTGTACGTGGTTAGCGAAATTGTGCGAGATTGTGAACTCCAGCAATAGCTCTGACATCTCAGTGGTGATTCACCTGCCTATTCATCGTTGTTGACCAGGAGTCCTGGGGTTCGAATCCAGACTGTGGCGGAAATTCACACTAGCTACAACGCTGGGGGAAATTCAGCCACTATCTAGACCAGAATACTAGCGGCCACTTGCTCTAATTGATAATTTTCTGTGCTCACTTCTATCCATATCAGACAAATGCCCAAGAATTACCCTACCAAAATGACACCCTGTTATTTACAGAGATCCGTCCACTTTGAACCTTGACTGGATTGAATATTAGTTGGGTACAGAAAATATACTATTTAGTGGCATACGCGTCTTCCAAATATTCAGAAATTTCTAGCGGCAACATGATAGAATCTTCTCAATAGTTTTAATATGTTGAATAAATTATGCCTTTTGGAAATGATTGAGTGTGGTTTTCGAACGTTTCAACAGCTGTAGTGTATTGACGCTTTTTAGTAATTAGTAAGTGATGGTAAAATGATGAAAATTGAAAATAGGAAATATTGAAAGTGGGGAAATATTGCTTCAAAAAAGTATTTAATACACAAAATATCTTTCTCATCTGTTTAATCTAACATCATCTCCCGTTTCACACCCGTCTCACTAAATAGGCCATGAACAAATATTTCACAAAGACTTTATGAGTTTCCAAAGAGTAAAATTAATTTATTTCGCTTTTATGTTCTGTCATAAATCTATTCCGCCTAAATGTATCACAATCGTACTTTTTTGTCAACTTTGACCTTTTTCGTCCTAAAACCATAAAATTAGGCGAAAAATTGTTTATTTCGATAACTTTATCTGAAAATAAACGCATATTCTACAAGAATTGCTTATAGAAATGTTTGCAGAGAAGAGAATGTTAAAAGTATACCCAAAATAGTCAACAATCAAGGGGGCCGCGTCATAAAAGAAGAGAATAACTAAATTTCTGGACCTCTTTATCCCACTCAACGTTCAGTCAGTGTTAGACCTTAATTTTTGGTTGATTGTAGGAGGGAAAGTCTCAAGACTTGGTCTATTTTTTGGGGGTACTTTCTCACACTTTTCAATGTTTAGTGGTTTTCGGTCAATTTTGAGATTTTGGAGTATTTTTAGTTTCCACAGAGGATTGAGTCAAAATTGACATTTCAAAAGTAGTTTGATTTTCACATGATTGCCATGAATTCGTCTCTTACACTGCAAGTACACTTCGTTCGACTCCCAGATTTTTCATACTTTTTGAAAATGTAAAGATTTTTTCATATATTTCGATGTTCTATTTTTATGTAATATATTTAATAAGATTTCATAAAGGTTATAAATTGAAAAGTCAAAATGTGCTCAGTGAAAGTGCGTAATGTTTTTGAAATCTTAAATTAACTCCATTACTGCGTAGTTGGAAATTACAAATGTGAAGATATCATTTCAAATAACACCGTGCGAAAATAAAATTTAAATAACGGAAATACAATATAAAGAAAATGATCAATTATTTCGTAATTGTTTTGGAAATATCTACGTAGTTTTTACAAAGAACTGAAAAGTAAACCATCAATAAATACAAAAACAAATTAAAATTTTTAACGATAATCAACGAGTTAATAACTACAGGGCAAAAAATATAGACGTTTCCTTTTAAGTAAAACGTCTAAATTCTTCAATTTTTTAACCGTAGTTAATAAGACAATAAAAAACCATGGATGTGAGATTAATTTGTCTATTCGTTTGTCACTGCTGTAAAACTTGAAATGTATCTGTACGCATCCTACGTAAATTTTATCAGGTTTTAAACAAATTTAAGGGACTACCGTTTTCATTCCGTGAAGCTTTAAAACCTCTTTCAAAATGTTCATGGAGCATCATCTCACCTGCCCCTTTCTCTGTACACACACCTATAATAAGAGATAAAAGAAAATAGTCATTGTAAGAGGAGAATTCTACCTAATGTTGAGTACATCTTGACATCGTTTTGAGATGTTTTTTGCTATAGCGTTGATTAGATTAAATGCAGCTAAAAGTAGCTAGAAAATTAATCGTATTTTTGTACTCTAATCGAGAACGCATAATAGAGATTAGATTGAACGGCTAAGATCACATTCTTCATGACCTATCGGAAATGTAATCGAGGATGTCGTGCATATCGAAGTTCGTCACTCGACGTAACAGCTCTCGTCCAACTCGAGGGTTCTCCGCAGGAAGCTGTAAAAAGAGAAACTATATTTAAGTAACAGACATAAAC